GGTTACATCACCCATATGGCTGTTTTACAGGGCATTTCTATCTTACTTTGTCATCACTGCAACAAAAGAGACTTTAAATAGTGAAAGAGGTGATGCACTGTAACTCTTTCACATGCCTGTCCCCCAACAGTAGTAAAAAAGATGGGAATGGTGACAAGGTCAGGCTCACACCAGGGACTTTATCATCATGGGGCTATCAAGAGGATACTCCTAATGAAAACTGGCATCTGCAGAACTGCACCTGTGTCAGTGCAACCTATGTTCAGTCAACCCCCTCCCACCAGAACAGTCTCCCCTGAAAGTGAATGCGTGCTGGCATAACCACATTTACCCAGTGTAGCTTAACCCAAGCATTTACAGTAACATTTTCACAGAAATCATATCTCATTAGCTCCTTCCTGAGGGAAGGAGGCTGAGAACAATAAATTGGAAACATCTCACATTCTGCATAGAAAGAAAGTGAAAGGAGCCAAGAGGCCAAGATATAAAAAGATGGCTTTTATATGTATATACAAGTGATGAACATTTGCTCACTGAAGTAGATCATGAGATCCCAGCAACAGCTTCCTGTCCTGATGCCAACGATCTCTGTGAGGGAGTGGCAAATGCTCATTTCCAGTTTGGATTCTGAGGAGAACAAGTGTTATGTACAATGCGAAGTAAAAGAAGAGTATCTCCCTCAGGATGCAAATCCCATTCTTGGACCCTTCTGATGAACACAATTTGCCTAAGAGTCTGATGCTGAAAGGGAATTTTATTTCACTAGTGTTGTTTCCCACTGGCTTATTCCATCTGAAGAACTAAAAAAACCTTACCAATCATGAAAGGACAAATAACTAGGGCAACCAACTTTTCAGCCCACAGCCCCATGATCAATTTTCATGTCAACAGCCTTCCATCAGTTGGGTTTTTTGCCAACTGATTTTGGACATATTTACATTTATAATTGCAGTCATTATAAATTAAATACAATAAATAAATGCAATATAAATGTAATCTACAGAAGTTTTTTTTTAGAATTGCACTGCAACTAGTTTCAATATTAATTTATTACATTTCCATATATATAAAAAGACCTCTTTTCACATTTCTTTAATTTGCCAACTGTTCCTCAACAATATGTAGATTCCATAGTAATTAATACAGCATTAGATGAAGATGTTAAAAAACCCCTTTGACTATTTTTAATACTTTTTGCATAATACTTTAACATCAGGATTCCAGCCATTAGCACCAATTAATTTGTTTAGAATTAAATTGTAAAAGACATTGATCATGAAATAAGACTTCCCATAAAACCCAGGTGACAGTAACATGTCCAATTATTTTGGTATAGAGCCCAAATTTGATGGTTGAACAGGATTAGTTTAGAAACCAATATCCCATCTTACAGAGACTGAACAGAAAAGAATTCAATGCCTTTAATAATGAATTTCAGTGGTTTACCACACACCTATGTCTTTAAAATGAGCATCTTCCTTCTAGGTTTACCTTTGCTATTTTATCTTTCAGCACTTACACTCATATCTTTGCCTGGCAGGTTAAAACCCTGCTTGCTCTATTTAGGCAGACACCTAACAGCAATCATGTCACTTTTTAGTTTTGTATTTACTGACAGACTGCATTTCTTCCAGCTTATTCTACAAGACAGGTTTTATAGAAGCGTTCTTGTATCACTTCTCTTTTAGGTTTTGAAAATCTTTTACAAAAATTTCCATATAAGACTTGGATAAGACTGGTAGTGATCTCACCACCACAAAAGACCTCCATCTGATCATATCTTCCATTTTCCCACTGATACACTGAAGAAGAATGTATTTATGCTTTTTTTTTTTTCTGCAGCAGCATAGTGAGAACTTAGATGCAGCTAATTAGTTCATCTAACTGCCACCTCATTTTGGGAGACAGCACCTCCCAGGGCACAGTTTCTCTCATTCTGTACATGTGACTTACATCTTTTATACTCCAAACATGACCTTGTCCCTGTGTGGATGCAATCATTACTTTGAACGCAAGCAATTTATCAAGCAATTCAGATCCTTCTGCAGAGCCGGTCTGTCAGTAGTGTTTTATCAAACCACCCACCTTCTGTCACTGCAAACCTCCTCAGTGATTTCTTTGTTCTTCTTGACAGTCACTAAAGGCATGGAATAGTGCTCAGCTAAGGGCAGGAGGTCAGGAGTCCTAATGAGAAACAGCCCCTCTTGTAAGAGATAGCAACATATAAACATATTTTGTTTGTCTAGTTGGTTTTCAATTTATTAATAATTTTAACTGGAAGTCTTACTGAAGTCTATGTAAATCAACCATCTTTGTAAATCAGATTTTTGAACTTAGAAGAGCACTATCAAGTTTATGTGAGTAGTGTTAGACAGATTACTGACCTTTGAAATTTATGTATGGAGATACTTATTGGCTAGTCATTGTTTCTGTCTGAACGCAAGGCTTAGATTTATCAATACCCAATTATCTAATTTGTTCCATTTTCTGACTAGCAAAACTAAAAATTGCTTGCTTTTATTTAAAAATAGAACAAGAGTAATTTTAATTCCTAAAATTGACCTTGAAAAGTGAGCATCAGTGTTTTGGATACTATGAACAAAAAATGTTAAGGGTTACTGATTTAAGTCTAGTGCTTTCACAAATTCCATTTTTTCTGGAATCTGTTCTTCCATTAAAGATTCTATTGAAGATGGGAAAAAATAACATTGGAGCACAGTCTACTTAAGGAAATCATCCTTTCTCATGTCACTTTGAGAAGAGCAAAGCCTTGCTCTTTCTAGTATCTCTGCTTGACAAGGGAACCGACAAATAGCATTAGGCTAGTGGTTAATTCAACCCAAGTATTTTTGGCAATGCCCAATACCTTTTTAAAAAATAAATCTCATGAAAAAATTGCAGATAAAAATTTTGTCTGAACAGTAAACTGTCCTGTTCGCACAGGTTCTTGGGGAAAATCAAAAGAAAATTGATCTGATGCAAGATCTGATGCATGATGATTGAAACTGATGCAAGAATGACTGTGGGAAGAGGCTGGTCATACCTGGGCCGAATCTTCTCAAGAAGGGTGTGTTACCTCCCCCATCTCCATCCCTGCATCCCCCAGGATGTTCTGTCAGCATGTCAGCCTGTCAGGCCATGTCCTGCAGCATGCAGACACACTGGGCCAGGTTATAGGAACTTCAGAAAGCACCTCCTGTCTGGGGCTGCACTATCCAGTCTTGCTTATGGGAGAGTGAATCTAATATTAAGGGAGCCTCAGGTAGGGCAGATGTACCTACAGAAAGCACTGCTTGGGAGGAATTGTTCCTTGTAAGTCCACTGGAAACACCCTACTTATGCAGTGATACCTCCATGTCACAACTTCCAACACCCATGCTTACTCCAACCCGTTTTCACATCTGTCTGAGCTTTCTGAATGTTTTCTTGCCTGTACCTATGCTTGTATATTTTCTGAACAGTATTTTACTTTGGACTTGCACTTCCCTAGAGCCCTGAGCATCAGCAATGACCCCTTCTCCCTTCACCTTAACATCCATACTGCCTGTTCTCCCAGAAGATGAGACCGAAGGCTCATGGCAATAGAAGACAGTTACTACATTCATTTAACTACAGAAAGTCTTCACACAGTCTGCTGTTTTACACTGCAGCTCTACTGAAAAGGGCACTATATTTCTGTGAACACAGGGAATAAGGATACTTATGGCAATTTAAATTAACTTTGAACTCCCTTCTCTTTTGAGATTCACAGTTTTAGCAAAGGGTTTCATGGGCTCTGTATACCAGGAGCTGAGGCCACTTTATTTCTCAAATGAGATCTGTTATCACAGGCATTTCCAAGCAAGGCCAAGAAGCAGGACTGCTCTGCCATTGAAAAGCTGCAGTTACTTAGAATTTCTCGAATTTAAAAACAGCGTAATATACAGCTGGATCAGTAAGAAAATCTTTGCTATCCAACTTGACAGTCAGTGCCTCTGGGGGCAGGTAGGAAAATTTGGAGCAGCTTAGGAGTGGAGAGCAGGCAAACAGTCCCACTGTCATGTGACAGAGGCACAGCCAGAGACAGAAATGTGTGGTCACTGTATGGAAACCAAACTGCAACAAAAGCAAGGGCATTTCCAAAGCCAATGCAACAAAGAGATACATGATTGTAACTCCACAAGAGGGACAAACCTGAGGTCCTGCCTCAGGTGAGCTTTGAGTGGGAGTCTGCCTATACCTAGATGGAGTAAAAGTGCCTACAGATTCAGCCCAGTGTAAGACACCAACAGAGATGCTTGAACCCATTTGCTGAGGAAGGTAACGCTTGCTGATACCTCCACAGTCTCTCCATTCCAGTCATAACTTGACAATATTTGTTGTTCAATTGCATGTGTTCAGTGAGGCAGCCCTGCACTTCCTACCCCGAGGCTGCAGGACGCGTGAGCGGGTTTTTCAGATGAGCCCTGGCATCCACCTCTTTCACACACCACACGTTCACCATCTGCGTTCTCATCTTCGGCCTTGCTGCCGCCCCTCGCTCAGGCTGCTGGGAGGTTTAGAAAGGCAGATGTTTTCAGTCTCTGTGGGATCTGGTTGCAGGGGCTTTGGAAGTTACAGTACCTTAGGCCAGTGTTGTCTGGGATTCAATATTGCATTAAGTGGTGACACATTGTGGGCGAGTGGGATCTATTATTGCATTATGGAGGCTGCTGCTTCCCTGAACAGGCTATGTTTTGTGTGTGAAGCGGGCCCACACCTGCTGGAGCTGGGACCTGGAAATGCGGAGGACGGAAGGCATGAGTCTGTGGTTTCCTGCCGTGAGGGGCATGTGCCTGCGGTGGGGCATGCGCACGGGGCTGCTCTCCGCCGAACGGCTGCGCTGTATGAAAGTGCCACCAACGTGAGGGTAGTGTTCTGTCTCCAGGGTTGAGGAGGAGAAAACGGAGGACGCCAGTCTTCTCAGGGGGCTGTACCTCGGGAGGGAGTGCTGAGAAGGCCTGTCCTCCTCCAACTGAAAAAGACCAAGAAGAGTGGAGGAAAAGGTGTCAGGCAAAGACTTGACTCGCCCCTGGTTTGTGATGCGCATGCTGCGGACATCTTCACTGGCGGATGAAAAATGCTTTTGCACTACACAGGGCCTTACTTACTGCTCTCTATGGCTATCAGTTCCCAGGGTTGCTATGGGCACCATGGAAGCCTGTCATTACAGGGGACCTGCCATGCTCTCCCAAGCCACAGGTGGACCAGAGCGACACCAGCAGTGCCAGGCTCTGCTACTCTGTCCCCTCCTCTGGCTCTTCAGGCCACATGCCTCACCTCTCTGTTCCACTGGCAGCGCTCATCTTGGCACGTAACTAGGCTATTCATACATCTTGCACATAGGTAAGAGTTAAACTCTGAACACATTTGGAAATCACATGAATGATTAAAGGTGAAACAGTGCTAAAACGATTATGTGTATTTGAAAGCGAGGGATTTTCAAGGGCTCTTTCAATGGCTCTCATTAAAACCCACTCCAGTGATTTGAAAAAGCAAGTTTGGGGGCTGTTAGTAGACTTTTCTCACACTTATGCTGTTGGCCTCCTGATACATTTTTATATTGAGTACCTGCAGGGGGAGTGTTAATGCTTCCAGTTCTGGTAAGCAGTGGATAGGCAGCAGCTGGACAGGCAGGCAGAGTATAATTCTCCTTTCAGTGAGAAATTCAAAACACAGGACCATAGGAGGACATGAGGAGAAGATGCACTCTTAGTTTCCTTTTCTGCTTCTGTGATCCTGGGATAACCAGGAGAGGGAGGAAGTACACCCACTGAGGACAGTTTGTGTCAGGATGAGATTGCAGCCCCTACCTTCCCTTTATGCTCTGAATGGAAGAGAGAGGCATTAGGGGAATGACTTCAGATCCTTCACCCTGAAAGTGCTAAGCCCTTCCTTCCCTTTCTACCTCTTTTATGAAACTAGCACTTTCATAAGGATCAGCAGTCTAAATCTCCAGAATCAGACTTTTTCTCCTGGAATCACTTCTTTCCTTTCAAAGGAAGGAAGGGAAAATGGGAAATGCATTCCCTTCCTTGTGCTGCATTTCTTTTCAGGAAGTCTCTGCAGGTGAAATGTGGAAAGGTGATATTGGATTTTCTTTAAGCCAAAACTGCTCTCCTTACCTTACTGGAGATGTTGCCCTTGCACTAGAAAGAGCTGAATGTCATCCAGTGTCATCTCTTTCCTGTCACCTTCAATATCTTTGCAGTGCCTTGAGGCAGATATCTTCAGAAGCGCCTGAGAGCTACTCAGTTCGTGGTTGGCATTAAATGTGAAAAGCAATTATTCACAGTCCTAAATGTACTGCATGTCACTGCATAGATCAGAGTCTCAGATAATAATAATGTAATGCTGTCATACAGAGTACTTGAGAGAGACAAATAAAATCTAGACAGCAGCTCTAATTTCTCATAAAGACAACCATGTCTTCTTTGCATAGATAGTGTAGAAATTCAGCCCTGGGTGTTCTATTTGCAAGCTGCACAACTAAGCATTACTAGAATTTTTATTCCTAATTTTTATTCCGTATTTGGGTTCAGCATATTGTATGATTTCCAAGGTATATATCATCCCAATATGGGAAAGACTTCTCAGATCTCAAAGGATCGCTCCAGCTATCCAGAGAGACCTCCTCTACAGGACCAAGGAACTTGCTCAGGCCATGAAGAAGCAATTACAACCCCCCATCAGTAAGTGCACTTTGGTATTGCTGCCTCCAGGATGAAGCTGAGCTTACAGACATGACACCTTTTTTCACCGATGCTCTAATGCTTAAATTACTCAATCAATGGTGAAGATGCTGCCCCCCTTCATCCCTTTGCAGCAATCAGGCTGGACAACCTTCCATCAGGCCTATTCTGCTCTGTTTGGACAGGATCAGTAGGACACTTTGTATGTGAAGTCCCAGGAGAACGTGATGTTGATAGAACTCAATATATTTTACAGATATAAATGGCTTCTCTTCTCATGTGGAGGGAAGACAGAGGAACTGACTTTCAAAGAATCACATCATCTACAACAGGCACCGAATGCAGACCAATGGGAATTATAGTGAGTGAGGAACAATGAGTCTTTCCCTCTGCCAATGTCCATTTCTCACCACTGAGAAATGGTCCCTCAGATCCCTTCAGAACAGCCCACAGACAATGCTGTAGAAGGGAAAGGAAATCAAGACACACAGCATCTTTTCCCCTGCTGCCCTCTCAGGCTCAAGACACAAACAATTTTAAGCAAGTTCACTTGTGGCACTGTGGTGGCTGTGTGAGAAAAGAGGCCGAAGATAGCATCAAGATGATTTAAAAGAGTGATTTTAACTACACAGCTGAGTTGGTGAGAAAAATATACTAGTGCCTCTTCACATTGGGACCTTTTCTAACAATGAACTCTAGGACTAAGCAAAATGCACTCTGAACCCTGCAGAATATATTCAAGGATAGGTAAAGCAGAGTAAATATCATCTCCCACTTTAATTTCTCACTTCTCTTGTGGCTTTTTAGATGTGACATCATTTTGACAGGCATGTTTTAGTCATGTGTATCCCCATTTTGTACAATGCCAACTGCACTAGCAGCAGGGGAGATTGAGAGTCAAGAAATACCTATGAGCACAGACCTAAGCATAGTCAGAAATAATTTCTAAAACTCATACATGTATGAACACTTGTAAGTCTTTTCACTGCAGAAGGCAGCAGTAAGTTGCCATCCCTGTCAAATATCAGTGAATTTATGCAGCGTACTTAAGAACTTGACAGATTTTTAAATTATATTGTGAGGTATGGGTTTAAATTATTTCCAACAGTAGCAGTAACCTTATGTCAGGATTAATAGGTAAACGGAAGTTCAATCTTCTCTTCCAGTCATTCTTTATCTATTTCTATAGCTTTATCTGCACACTAGTGCATAAAAAAACCCCGAGTCTTATTAGGACATCCCTGAAATTCATACATTAAAGTAAACCCTTAGAGCTTTGTTAAACAGATGTTCTGAGTGGTGCACAGAGAGAAGGGCTTGAACAGGACATAGTTTCTGTTCTCCTTTTACAATAGGTCTTCCCATGAGATCTGTGCTCTGCTGCAGCCATTTTCTTGTCATCTGAAACTGGGATATACCTAGTATGTGAGAATATTTGGGTCAGAAACTCCCCCAGGCTATTCAGAGCCTCCTCTGTACTTGACTTTCCTCACAGCAGCATCTGATCATTCTATGCTCCCTCTTACACCCACAGTTTTAACGAGGACAGCACCATCTCTCACATTTGAGCTACAGTATCTGTCCTCCAAAAGACTGAAATATTTGAAGAAACATCTGAGTTCTAAATGAGGCTAATTCAGGGAACTAAAGGCTGGTCAGCCTGGAAAGGAAATGGAGCAAATCCTCCTGGAAGAAGGAGCATTTCCAAACATATGAAGAAGAAGAAGGTGCAGTCAACATGGATATGTGAAGGGGAAATCATGTCTGATGAACCTGAGAGCTTTCTGCGCTGAGAGGACTGGGTGGGATGTTGTTGATCTTGACTTTGGTAAGGTTTCTGACACTGTCTCCCATAAAATCTTCATAGACAAAACAATGAAATATAGTCTAGATAAGTAGATAGTGAATTGGACTGAAAACTGTGTGGGGTCCTGGTCATAAAATATCGTGTTCGGAGAAAAAATGTCCAATCATTAATGTTGTAGCCAGGGGCTGACAATGCAGCCACTACTATTTAACAACTTAATCAGTGACCTGGATGATGGGACAGAGTGTACCTTCTGCAGATTCACAGATGACACAATAGTGGGAGGAGTGGCTGACACACCAGAAGGTTGCGCTCACATTCAGCGGTGCCAGGATAGGTGGTGAAAAGGGAAAAAGGAATTTCACTAAGTTCAACAAAGGGAAGTGGGGAGGAACAGAACACACTGTGGGCCACCTGTTTTGGTAAGGTGCACAAAGGGCCAACAGCCCCTCAGGACACACCAGGAGTGCAGCCAGCAGGCTGAAGGAGATGGTCCTTCCCCTCTGCTCAGCACTGGTGAGTCACACCTGGAGTGCAGTGCTCCAGTTCTGAGCTCCCCAGTACAAGAGACATGGGGACACATCAGAGATAGTCCAGGGAAGGGTAACAGAAATGATAAAGGGACTAGAAGACCTTTAATTTGAGGAGAGGCTGAGAGAGCTGTGACTTTTTAGACTGGAGAAGAGAAGGCTCAAGGGAATTCTTAACAATATTTATAAATACCTGATGGGAAGATGGGTCCAGACTCTTCTTAGTGATGTCCAGTGAAAGTAAAAGAAGAAAGGAACAGAAATTGAAATACAGAAAACTCAAATTAAAGAAGTTTTTATCATAACAGTGATTGAACACTGGAACAGGTTGCCCAGAGAATTTGTAGAGACTCCATCCTCAGAGATATTTTGATTGGACATTGTCCTGAGCAACCTGCTCTAGGTGATCCATATTGGAGCAGAGGGTAGAACTAGATGATCTCTAGAGGTCCCTTCCAACCTCAGGCAGGCTGTGATTCTATGACAATCCAGAAGACACTGTCTTTCTGCCAGTTATAAGTGATGGCTCATAGACTGGAGCCAGAGAATGGATTAACAGAAGGAAGCATCAGAGCAGGGATTCCCCATTTGCTTTCAGTGAGTACACTAATGACACCAAGGGATGATCACCAGGTTTTGGGACACCAAAATGACGTCACAAATGGGTACAACAAAGCCTACCTGTCATGGTAATTCAGCATTTAGTGAAATTTTTACCTATCTTACAGGCTCAGTTCATATTTAAAGATAAGGAAGATTTACTCACCTACACACACATACACACACACACACACAACTTAATCACAGTTTTAATCAAACCCAGAGAAGCACAAGCATGAGCTACAGGAAACATCTGCCATTGCTGATGAGGCCTTCAGTATTTTCACTAGTGAAGTCCTTGGTCAACTTCTTATTATTGTCCCAGCTGTCTGTTCCTCCATATTTGCTGCAGCTAAGGAAAACAGGTTTCTACTTTCCTTTAGGCACCAAGTGCCTTTGAGTGTTAATAGCTGGTTTTGTGACAGCAAATGGAAAAATATGAATATCACTGCACAGCTGCAGTGGTAACTGAAGGATTCAGACATCAAAAGAACAACTAAATCCCAGTCAGCTAAAGAAGTCCAGTATTGGTCAGTATGTACAAAGCTAGGCCACAGAGATAATAGAGGGTATTTCAGAACATAGGAAAAAAAATAAAATGGTTTGCTGGAGAACAAAGGCTGCCTAATATATTAGCAGTAATCACCCCCAATCCCATTAATTTACCTTTTTTGCCTGCTTTTTAAATATTACTGTGAAGTGATAAGAAGTCTTTTTGCTGCACCATATCCAACTCCCCCAGTCATTTCACATAGGGGTGTATGTGCTCTGGCCAAGAAGGCCTCTCCAGCCTTCTTTAGCCACATTAAATATGTCAGTGAAGTGTCCTTGCTGTTGTTTACAGCTGGTTCTTATCAGCTGGCTCTTACCATGCCCATTGCATCTTGCAGATCTTGTGCTGACCAACCCCCCAAAGACCATGGCAAATTCAGACACATTCCAACTCTGCCAATTCTGCCTTATGCAATTTCTAAATACCTGGGACATTCAACATATTTGCTTTATACAGCAAACACCTCTACCTAGGAACCTTGCAACTGGAATGCAGTCTCTATGAGAAGCATGTGCTGCTTCTGTTCCTCGTTCAGCAGGACAGCCCCACTCGTGCCTGCTGTCAGCATTGTTATCCTTCCTGTAAATGCTGCAGCCTCATACACCTCAGCAAGGAACACCTTGCCAGGTGATTTGCAGATTTGCTTTGATTCCTTTTACATAGATTCTTGTCTCATTCACGGTTTCCTTTGTGTAGCTCTCAGGGATCCAGAGAAGAATTTGGGCAAGACCTGAACAGAAAGATGTTCTTTTAATGTGCTCCAGTCCAGTGAAACTTACTTGGAGAATAAGCTCAAGAGGGAAGCAGAAACAAAATCACCATCTTCCAGACAGGAACAAGCAGACTGCACAAAAGTCTGTCATAGGAGGGTATCACTGTGTACGTGACTCAAAACTTGCAACTTGCCTGCTCTTTGCTGTGCTTATGGATTCCATGTGCATGAGAGATCTTCATCAACATATAAATACAAAAAGTTCTTAGGGGAACAATTTGATTGTCTCTTACACTGAACACTCTGGGACAGCCTTCTTAGAAATAAAGATTAGACATGACAGGAACTCTGTGCCTAGTGTATTATATTTTTCCAGCTAATCTAATAAATCACCTCCCACTAAAAAGTGAACTGTTTATAGTATCAGGGGACCCCAGGAAAAAAGCAAAACTGAAAGAAAAAAAAGCCCCCTACAACTATATGGAAAAAACACAATAGGTAAAGAACATTTCTGTGAGTAAATACATGGTAATAGCAATGCCTCTCACTGAGGTAAGGTCGATGAGATGTATGTGCTGGCTACTCTAAGCTTTTTATTAGGTATTTAGAAGAAAGATTAATTTTAGGGAGTTATTTTATGATTTGCATTGCTGTGGGCCTGTGCAGTGCGGATGTGTGGTTAGATTAGAGGGCATTCTCTTGCCATACACTCCTGATGCTGCTGAAAAACTATGTGGAGAAGATTTGCTAGCAACACCTCCATACAACTAAGCAGTTACTAACAAAACTCTGTGGGAGAGCATAAGAGGAGTGACTAGAGATACCCAGAATCACAACTGTGCTCTCCTCTTGTCCCTGTACCAAAATGGCTAAAAGATCTTCATGACAGTGTGTCCTTAGAAGGACATCACTGGCTTTTGGGAGCACTTCTAAGGTGTTCACAACATTTGCCAGCACTGTCAGAAGAGTTTTACACGAGCATTCATGCTTGGAATCAAAGACTTCTCCAGCACAGTTGAGGTTTCCTAAGATGATGCTATGCTAGGCAACAAGGTACAGACCCAGGGATCTTACCTGTCTCTGAGGACCAGTAGGTTCAGATTCTCGTCTCCTTTGTCGGAGAGCTGGTGCTGAATGTAAGGGGGAGTGGGCTGGACTTCCTGTCTGCTGTTCATGTCTACTGTCAGACACTGTTTGAGAAGGTCCTTCATGTCTATGGGAACTGTCCTCCTCAGTCACAGGCAGCATACCCCGACTTCGCCCATCATGAGTCTTCGGCCTCACTGCAGCATCTGCCCCCAGACGCCTTCTCTCCTCCCCATCTTCAATAGGCCTTAGTTCCTCAGGCTCCTCATCCGTGGTTCCAGACGTGCTCGGCTCAGCACCGGGGTGGAAGTCCTTCAGCTCTGTCTCTTTGTCAATGATAACCCACTCCTTGCTGTCAAAGTCCTCCTCCTCTGCGAGCGGCACCGAGCGGAAAGCGTTGCTGAGGGCCTCGTGCTCCACGGACGCGGACACGTCCATCCTGCCGCTCGCCTGCCGATCAGCCTGGCCGGTATCGATGGACAGCATCTGGGCTGGCTGCGAGGAGCACACGAGCCGTGACGGAGAGCCAGGGATATCCATTCGAGACCTAGAGACACAACAAGGAGCCATTGAAAACACATCAGGTTTGTGGTTAATGACAGGGATCATAAGAGAAAAGACTTCTCACTCATTTCTTGGTACGCTTCAGAAAGACAGGCTTAAACAAAAATATTTCTTTAGAACCTACAATAGCATGAAGAAGTGCTTCAGTATTACAGCCTATTCAGCATGTCTTTCCCCTGTAGACAGGATGATAACGATTTTCCCCCAATAATGCCTTTCCCCCTTGTTAAGTTCTACTGGTTCATAAAAAAAACAAACCCAAACTATGTTCTGATCAATGTTTCCCATTTGGCCTTCATCTGCTGCTTGCTTTGCTTCTCTGCCTATCTCAGAGGCCAGCAAATTGCTGCACAAAGCCAGAGCGTCAGCTGCCCAGATTTTAGGACAACTGCAGTGTGTTTTCAACAAGAAACATCCAGAAGCCTTGCAGACTCTTCTGGGGGAAGACTTCCATGTGTGAGACATCAAAATTTTTGATGAAGAAAGGGGAAGCAAAGAAGGAGGTGAACCAAAAGTTAATGTAAATAAAATTGTGACCATTGGCCACTGATTGAATGATTACATTGGTCTCAACAGTGAATCCTCAAGACTCTGCTAAAAGCAGCAGGAGGCTACAGAAGGTGAACAAACCTTCTTTCATGTGGATCTGCTTTTCCATCAGCCGTGGAGAGCCGCTCTGACTCGGGGCTGTTGACGCGGCGGTAGCGGAGGGAGCGCACTTGTGCGGTCGGGGACTCTGGAGGCACTCGGACAGGGGAACTGGGGCACACCCCGTTTCTCTGCTCCTCTTCCACCATGCACTGAGTCTGAAGGGGATAAACACAAAGAACTTCAAGATCTGGCCAAAGACATTGATTTCCATCCTTCACTGTTGCTCTGGACCTTCTCCCAGGATATGCTTTAGGCTGCATTTTCACAATCTATACAAGGAACGTCTGAGGGGAGGCAGGGTCCTTCTGCCCTGGCAATCAGCTGGTATTAAAAAAAGGTATGGATTTAAAATCAATTCAAATACTTAAACATCTTTACAAGGTGGCCTATGCACTCCAATTACCCTGAGTGTTGATCCAAAGGAGTTCTCATGGGTTAACCTACTGCATACACAAACCCCAACTGCTTGTCCAAGATGTCTAACAGCCTTGTTTGTCAACATTCATTTAAGCAGGGGCCATGCATTGCACTACAATACATAAACTTTTACATCTGGTCTGACTAAGGCATCTCCTAATTACCAGGGTGTTTTGTTTTCCATTTGTGTTTTTGTTTGTTTTAATCTCAGTTCTTTAAGCAAAGTCTTTCATGACAATCACAACATCTGTAAGAACTTTCCACAGAGCCAAGGTCATGCAGGGAGCTGAATATGCTCATGGACACGCTATCATTCTGTATTTCCTCTTTCATATTGCCTTATTAAATTTGATTTTTTTTAAATCTAGCAGCAGATAAAGGAAAAAACAAGAAAAGACAAAGGAAAAAGACAAAAGTAGGTGACCAACACAGCTGCCCTCTGCCTTCCACATTGCTGATTTTCCTTGGAAGAGAGGGGCAAAAGCAAAGAGACAGAATGGTCCAAGGGCTACAGTGGCAGCACAGGGCTTGCATTCAACACTGCTGTGTTGCCAGCCATGCAGCATCAGCTGCTACACACGGCCTCTGTGTGGGAATGTGTATGGAGAGTGCTTACCCTTTCCTGCCCTACATTCCCTTGTCCTCTATTAATGCCAGAGGGTCTGAACACAAGCAGCATCTCAGTAAAATGCTGCTGATACAGACAGTTGCCTTGTGCATGCAGTGTGTACATGGCAAGTCAGTCAGCGCCCATAAATTAGCAGACCTAAACCACTCAAGCTGGAGCTGGAATGCATAACTAAAGAGCCTTTGCAGCTCAGGAGAACTTAGAACTTCCAAGCATTAGAGGAAAAGCAGAATAGATTATAATTACTTAAAATGTAATCCAGTAATGACCAGGAGAAGGCTAGAGGCAAGAGAAGGTTAAATGTGTTTGTGAAAGGAGCAAAGTGCTGATGTAACTGTTGGGTAGCATCAACTTGTTAAGATTCAAGAGCAGAGAACTAGGGGATGGTGTGGAAGAACAATGACAGTAAGCCCTGTCCTTAACACGGAAATGAGAGAAGTGGGACAGAAGGAGATCTGAATTGTGTGCACAGAGAACTAATGATCATCTTAGAGAGTTATTAGTGAGGAAAAAATATGGCAAGATCTGTTTATCCCCTAAATACAAAGAGCAAGACAGGGAGAGACAGTTAATTCTAAGAAGACTGGAACATGAAGGATGTGATGCTGTGAATAGCAGAAGGGTATTTAAACACACCAGTGCCCTTGTGGTTCTGATGCCTCAGATTACAAGCAGAGGTAAAGCTGTGCCCTTAGGTATCAAATCTGAAGCATCTTTTTTTCCTTCATGTGGTGACTGTTACTTAAATAAAACCTGATCCTCTCTCAGAGAACAGTCAGACTAAAGATAATAAGTCTAGAGAAGCAAAAGGACAGGCAACAGTCAAATTAAAGATAATAACCCTCAGAGAGAAAGGACTTTAGCTTTGGAGAGCTTGTTGCCCTAGGCTTTGGTGCACAGACTGCTGTGTAGCTACAGAACCTGTCAGAGATGAAGTGCTCACTGCCATGTCACCTGGCTCTGCTGTGGAGCTTCTATAAACCTCTTCTACCTTTAGCTGCTGTTAGGACAGAACTTGTGAATCAGGTACCTAAGACATGACACACAACTAGCAGCACGCAGAAAGAACTCCCCTGTGCAAAGTCTGACAAGAGCATCAAAGCACCTGGTGGTAGAAATGTAAAGAAAAACACATAGAAGTTGCTAGGATTTTTCTGTAATACTCTTTTGTTTAATATATATTGTGTGAACAGTACTGTCCCTCTCTGTCAGGCTTTTCTTATTTCATATATCTTCAATTGAAAACTTTTGGGAATGCAGAGTTACCAGTGAGAGACAAAGAAATAATCTGAACATGGTTCATAATTTGTCAGTGCTGGGGAATGTCCCTGCAAGTTCTCAATACAGATAACACATTGATCTGAATTATTTGCATTGGAGAATTTTAAATTATTAGTTATTATTAAATTATTAACATTAGTTATTATTAAATTAGATTATTTCTTGTCCATCCATAATGTTTTCTAGTAAGTCTAAGGATAGTGGAGATACCTATATTGCTGAAACAAAGACTAACTTTGTACCAGTAGAGACTGAAGTGAATTCTGGTCAGCCCCAGAAGACTAACAGACTTAACATGCCACTCCACAAAAGTCCATTAAAGACAGGTTTGTGATGTGAATCTGATGTGCCCTGACAACATTTTAATTCTGATGAATATTTCTCTGCTAGCAGATTCTGTATGTATCTGATGACTTGCCACTAATACTAATTTACTTGAAATATGTAAATTAACCTGATTAATAAACCAACTGACAGATTCTTATACTTGACATTTATCATGGAATCAACCTTCTCTGGAGATGCCTCCAAGAAATTAGGTAACATTTAAAAGAAAGAAATGAGAAACACCTTAGAGATTATGAGGAGAACCAACTGAAGTACACATTTTATGTATGTTAAGACAGCTTAAGATGATCTTGGAATGCAGAAATATGAGAATATTAAGTAATGGTTTCTCTCACTCTTCACAGGGGTGAAACCACTGTTAGATGCTCCT